TAGAACAGCTTAATTCAAATTGTACACTTGTGGGTTGGTAGTGCAACTCCTCCCACACTAGGCCACCAGAACTCCCTAGCACTAGATACAGTGCCATTATTTTATAACTGTTAGTTGCCTCTGAGTTGGTTCCAACTCACAACTGCTTTATGCGTAACAGAAAGAAATGTATAGTCTGTTGTGATTCATTAAGCTTTTCACTGTTTGATTTCTGGAGACCACCAAGTCCTGATCTTAGTTTAGAAGCTGTGCTGAAATCTGTCCACCACAGGTGATCCTGCTGAGGTCTGAAATACCAGTGGTACAGCTTCCAGCGTCAGAGCAAAACATAAGCCACTGCAGTGTAAGCAACTGACAGACGTATGCTGGACCATGAAAAGTAAGAAAAGAACTCTCTAATATTTTTTTTTCCTTTTCAAGCAGTGATAATGAAAACAGTAGAAATATCCATTCAGTTTGACTGCTAATTTGTACTTTCTTGCCTTTTGGTATTTGATGACTAAAAAATTGGGGCTCCTTCTCCCTTTTACTAGAGATAAGCAAAAACATCAACTAAAGAGATTTGACAAATTACTCTGTGAGGTTAATCTACTTCCTAAACAACATGCCTCTGGAAACTGTATGAACTTTGATAAATGATGATAGTTATAGAAAGGCTTCAGATCTTTTGTTCACAGGATTGCTATGAGTCGTACTCTACTTGACAGCAATCAACAAGAAGTTAGTAATGCTTACAGGACAGAACAGCACTAACTTCTGTTATGATAAGTCTTCCAAAGCTGTAAATCTTTCTAAGCAGATTAGCCCCATCTTTCTTCAATAGAACAATCTGTGGGTTAGAAGTGTCATCCTTTTGCCATCATATAGGAATACGGGGCTTTAACCACTGCACCACTAGGGCATCAAGAATAAAGGTTTAGGGATCAGAAAAGCTCATGAAAAACTATTCGCATTTCATACTCAATTTTATGATGCTTATGTTCGCTAGACTCCAAATGACTAAAGAGAGTATTTCAACATGTAAGTAAGAGTTCATTTTAAACTTGGAAATATAATACTAATTCACTACTAGTAAGTGATGAATAATAGGGACTAGGGTAAAACTCATTTAAAAAAATGTACAGCTATACCATATTTGTACTTATGGGACTGGATTAGTTTATTCAGGGTAATGCTCTCCAGTCTCTCCCAAGTTAGGTAGTGATTTACGAAATTATTACTCCTGCATGCTTTGTAGTATTTCACTGTATGATAATTTCTCAATCCATTAGATTGTGGCTGGACATCTGGGCTGTTTCCATGTTCTTGCGATGATGAATAATGCTGCTATGAACACTGGTGTACAAGTCCCCAGTTGTGCCACAGTTCTCATTTTCTCAGGGTATATTCCAAGTAGTGGATTAGCTGGATCAAATGGAATATCTATGCTCAGCTTTTTGAGGAAGCTGAACATAGAAATTCCAAACTGCCTTCCAGAGTGTTTGTATCATTTTACAATCCCACCAACAATGTGTAAGAGTTCCTATCTTGCCACATCGTATCTAACATTTATTACTTGTTGTCCTATTAAACCGTGCCACTGCTACTGGAATAAGATGGTATCCATTATTGTAGAATGTGTATGAGGATCCAAGGGGGCAAGTGGGAGCAGAGGGGCAAGGATGAGGAGAGGGGGAATAATCATAGGGTTGCAGAATTTTACAGGTAAAGGCAGAGATAGGTAAAGGAAATGAGAAAGATCTGGTGTGAAAAACCAAAGTATAAGAACTTTGTAAGTAAATAAGTATAAAAATAAAATTTTATTTAAATAAAAAAAATACCAAAAAAAGTATAGCTGGCTGTAAAAGAAGACAAGGAAGAGAAAGAAGAGGGAATTAACATTTTTTTTGGCCCTCCCTTGTTCCCTTATCTTTATCTCATGCACTTTACTTCTCACAACAGCATTATCAAGAAAGTACTATTCCAATTTTACAGATGAAAATAAATCTCAAAAGCCTAAATAATATAAATAATTTGACGTTACATAGAAGAGACAATGTAGCTTTGGATGTAAATTTTAATCTGTTTCATTCTAAGGATCACAATTGGCATAAACAAAGGACTCCCAAACTACCAGGCCCCATGGCAATAAAAAGTCTCAAAAACAAACTGTTACACACCTTTTGTGTTTCATCTTTCTTCTCCTGTTTGAGAATGTCAGTTAAATTAATGAGCTTTTCCATAGCCTCCACTTGTCTATTCAGGTGCTTCAAATACATTCCACAAGCACGACAGTAGGATTCCAAAAGCAGGCCGAACCTCTGACTCACTGTTTTATTGTGCATCTCAGATCTAAAACAACAGCACAAGATTAGATTTATTGTGTATGTGTGTGTGTTGTTGCTGGGTGTCACTGATTAAATTCCAATTCTCAGTGACCCATAAAACAGAACAGAAGTGTACAACTGCCCCACTGGGGTTTACTGGCTATAATTTTTACAGTAGATAGCTAGAATTTTCTCCTAAAGAGTACCTAACAGGTTTGAGTCACCAACCTTTTAGGGTTAAGTAGTTTAACTGTTGCCCTACTGTTGTAATGTACAGTTGAGTTGGATCTGACCTATAACTGACCTTCTAGCAGGTTTTCAAAGATAGTTAATCACATGGGAGGAGACTGGTGACCTTTCTCCCTTGGAGCAGCTGGTGGATTTGAACCATGTTGCTTTAGTTTGGCAGTGCAATTCTTTACCACTTGGCCACCAGAGCTCCCTGTTGCACTACGAGGACTTCATATCTCTGTACACGTAGTAAGTAGTCTTACAAATTATACAATCTTCTTTTCTAAAAAAAAATAACTCATGGCCTGAGTCAGAATCGACTCCCAGCTGGCCCTGCAGTGGGTTTCCAGAGGCTGTAAATCACATGGGAGGTGACTCCTCACCTTTCTCCCAGAGTAGCTGCTATATTTAAATTGCTTGCCTTTGGGTTGACAACACAACTCCTTAGTCACTATGCTACCAAAATTTACAAAATACATTTCCTAAATGCAATTCATATTGTTACTCTGTGCCGCTGAATTGGGAACTCACTTACAGCTGTCCGTCCAGTGTTTTTTTAGAGGCTATCAACTGCACAGGAAGAGATTGTCTATCTTTGTCTCCTGGAGCAGATGGTGTATTTGAACCACCTGCCTTCAGATTGGCAGTGCAAGTCCTTACCCACCAGGCAACCAGAGCTCCTTGCAATTAATATTACAATCATACTGACAATAAAAAAAAAAAAAGATCAAAACTTACTATTTAGAAGGAGTAAGATCAAGAGTTTCATATTTCCAGTTCCTGGAAATGCAGACTTAAACTGGTTTTTAGATTTATTTCAAGTATATTTTATTCATTAATTTCATACCACTTTCATGGAAATCTATGAATAGGAAAGCAGTCCATAATGATCACCTTTCTTTCTTTTTCTTTCCTCCCTATGGAGCTCTGGTGGCCTGGAGGTAAGGGGCTGAACTGCCAACCCAAAGGCAGGCAGTTTGAATTCATCAGCTGTTCCACAGGACAAATAAGCACAATCTCCCTTAGTGCAACTTACAGACTCTGAAAACCTGTTGAAGAGCCAGCTATGAGCTGATTCAGATTTGAAAGCACATAGCAACGACAATATCATTCCAAGACACGTAACATAAGAAAAGCACAAATTACAACAAAATGTTTTGGGTGGGGTAAAGAATTTTCAGAATTTTTTATACTATGTCTAAGTTCAAACAGATTTATCTTGGAGAGGATGAAACCAAGCTACTCCTTGGAGGCAAGGATTCTGGGGCTTCGTCTGACATACTTTGGACATCTTGCCAGGAGGGGTGGGTCCTTGGAGAGGGACATCATGCTTGGGAGGGTTGAGGGACATCGCAGGAGGGGAAGACCCTCTATGAGATGGATTGATTCGGTGACTGGGGTAATCGGGATGGGTGTGTCAGAGGCGGTGCGGTTGGCGCAGGATAGAGCAGGGTTTACGGCTGTTGTGCACAGGGTCGCTATGAGTCAGAAACGACTCATAACAACAACAACAACAACATGTCTAAGTTACTTTAAGGCCTGCTTCTAGGTTCTATTTGTAATTCTAGTTTATGACTTCTAACTTTGAATGCTAGATATTTTAGTCTGCAAGATAATTTTTTAAGTAGCTTTTTTTCCCTATGAAAACCTTTTAATTGTGCAATTATTGCCTTGCATCCCAAATTTAATAATTTTCCTCTTTATTTTGAGATATTTTTATCCAGAAAAACAGTAAAACTTACTGCATCATTAATCTGGATAGAGCAAATTTTACTTTTTTTGAAGTAATATCAAATATCTACAGCTACTTTTCTCCTCATTTACATATAAAATTCAATTTTGAATTTTACTAATTTAACTTCAAAGAGAAAAAGCTAAGTGAAGCTTGTAAAACAACAAATCTTGAAGATATATCAAACAAAAACAAAAAGCATAAAAGTAATTATATCTACATCTGCCTTGTATATTATACTGACACTAAATATGACACTAAATATATTTAAAAAGTAAATATACAAATATGGAATTTAATGGGAAAATAATTTGACTTACTTTAAATGCCAAAAGAAAAAGTGCCCAATCCTTTGGTTAGTCAAAGCTTTCTTAAGTAAAAACCTCACAAGCAGGTTATCCAAATATTGTTCATATTTTAGGACCTAGGTGATTAAGCAAAACAAAACACTCCACATGAATCAGGAGCAATGTCTGCACAGCTGGAGTTAAAGAACATTTTTTAGAAAGAAAGTAAACGCTACTTGAAATTAAAGAAACGTTTTGGGGTTTTTTTTACCACCAAAGCATAAAATCAGTTAACACAGTGGATTCTCAAAGTAGCATGAGTTTAGAATAAAACACTATGTACCATCTGACATTATTTTACCTGCACGAGCTGAATTAGGTACTGAGAGAGTTTGTCATCTGTTAAGTATTTTTCCAAGCATCGAACAGCAAAACCTCGAACCATAGGATCTGGGTAATTACAGTCCAGAAGCTCCATGGCTTGTTCAGGCTTGATTGGAGGCCAGTCTTTTACCAAGCAATACATCTGCAGTGAGAACGACATGAAACCAGATGTGAAGACCAAGACATTTGCAAATGAATCCTAATAAACATTGCCTTAGCTTCTTATTTTAATATTAGCTTGGGCAAAGCCCACTTAAACAGTGTTTAAACTTTTCTGTTCTAAATAATTTTACCTGTGGGAGTGGTGTAAACCACATTTCTCCCATTGTATGATCATTATTAATTTAAAACAATCTATTTCATTTCCTATGCTTATAAAAACTTTGAAAGAAAACATGTTAAGTGACTTAGCAGTTTTGTACAATATTTACTCAATAATACTGAGCACACATTTACCTGGGCTACTTCATCTCTAGAATTCCATTTAACAGACAGGAGCAATTTGGGCAGAATTTCAGGGATAGTCACACAGTAGTGCCTGTATGGGAAAGACAAAATAAAAAAATAAAATTCATTCATACTAATCAAAAGGTCTAGAAAGCTAACTCTTCAATTATACATTCTTTAAGTTGTTCCAAACACTTTAAAAATATTTACCATTACTAGTCTGCTTAAAGTATCAAAAGAAATCAGGGTTTAGTACTATAGTTTGTAGCTATGTACATATATACTTAATAATTTTAATAGCGAAGATGACAAAGGGAAAATGCAAATAGAGGAAAAGTACTTAGGAAAAACTTGGTTAAGAGTTAAAAAAACTAAGAGTATATTTTACAGTATACTTTTTATATAGCTCATACTATTTGACCAACTATTAGAGAGCTCTGGTGGCCTAACGGTAAGAATCTGCACTGCAATCCTGAAGGCATGCAGTTAAAATCTGACAGCTGCTCTTGTGGGAGTAGGAGGGGCAATCTCCCCCTGTGTGATTAACTGCCTCTGAAAACCTACTGGAGGGTCAGCTATGGGTCAGTTCCAACTTGACAGTACACAACAACAACTACATTTAATAATTTACTCAAAACTCAAACTACTATTGAGGAGATTCCAACAACCCCCCTGGTGAGTTTCTAAGGCTGTAAATCTCAATGGGAGGAGCCAATCCAAAATGCAAATAAACATGATCTCTAAGAAGTAGCAAATGTGTGCACTTTTAATGCACTTTCTGAAGAAACATACTGCAGCTGCTTTATTTAGATTTATCAGTGGGCACTTCTTAAGTATCAGGCTCATTTTCACACAAACGAAACGAAGTAATTACTAGGTCAAGCTTCTTTGTGCTTCAAATCCACCATTGGCTCCTCAGGAGAAAGATGGGCAATGTTCTCCAGTGTGATTTATGGCTTTGGAAACCCAAAGGACAGTCAACTATGGGTTGGTTCCAACACAAAGCCAATGAGTTAATTGAGTAAAATGGATTAAAAACAATAGGCTATTTTTTTGGCTCCAGAATTTTATAATAAAAGCCAAAATCTAAAAAAAAGCTATGTCAGCGTTTAAAAAAAAATCACCTACAACATGCAAGGTAAGTATCAGCATGATTTCCTAGAAATATCAATTTATAGATATAGCTTTAAAGAGGGATAATGTTTTTAACAAAATAGTCCAAACACATGAACTCTGCGTTATTTATTCTAATGAGTATGGGAGAAATACAGCAGGAACTGCAAGTCCAGTCTTCTTTTGTAACAGAAGAAAGAAAAGAGGCATTTTCCATCTTCTACTTACCTGTGGCTCCACAGAAAATCCTTCTCTTGCTCAGTGATTTCAGAGAGAGGATCTCGTGTACAGATTGCTCGGAGCTGTTCTTTGTCATTTTCTCGTAATTCATTGTCTCTAGCTAGTCTGTTACTCTGGAAAACAAAGTTAATTTCTCAGATACTATTTCTTTACTGTCTCTGCCCTCATTTCCTGAGTGATCTATAAAAAGACAAAACGAATTTTTAATGTAGTTTATACTGTTTTTCAGTCATAAAAGGGCTTATTGTCATTGCAAACTTCATTTTCAGAGAAAAGGAAAAATCAATTAAGATAGTATTTGCCAAATAACCAGTAACTCTGATCTTAGTTACCCTCATTATCAACTACCTAAACAGCAACTGTCAAAGTTAGTCATAGGAGTCCAGATGCAGACATTAGAAGTGAGCAATGAAGAACTTCTCCTGTTAAAGCTCTTCCTATTATACCATGAATTAATTAGTTAATGCTAGAATAGAAAGAATAAAATTTAAAAATGTAAACTTTACCATGTTCTTTAAACACACATCGTAATATGGTAAGGCTTTGAAATTTAAAAAGAAAAAAAGAGGAGTACACGTTTCATTAAAATATTAGAAAATATTTTGTGTAATTCTATGTATTTATTCACAGTAATTGCATAACTAATAATTATGAATGTATATTAACATATTATGCAAATTAAGCACACATCTTTAGAATGGGTTGCATATATTCCTAATGATTAACAATTAAATCATGGAGCCTTGCTAGTATAATAGTTAAGCACTTGCATGTTAACCAGTAGGCTGGTGGTTCACATATACCCAGTGGCTCTATAGGTGACCTACAGATCTACTTCTGTGAGGATTACAGCCTTGGGAATCCTAATGGGCAGATCTACTCTATCACATGGGGTTCCTATGCACCGGAATCAACCTGAAGTCCTCAACAACTACTTGGGAACAACTGTGAGTAGCTATAGCACTGGGCAATAGCATTATCTTTCAGGACTTCTGGAAATGTCTGCAGACATTCTGTTTGTGGAGACACCTTTTGGGAGTGGGGATGGTGATGCAACTGTTGCTGCAGTTGTGTGCCAGGGAATTGGAACTGACCCTTAGCTGACCCTCCAGTGGGGTTTCAGAGGCTCGAAATTGTATAGGAAGAGACTGCCAATCCTTCTCCTGTGGAACAGCTGGTGGATTTGAACCACATGTCTTTGGGACTGCAGCACAGAGCTCCCTGGTGATAAGCCACTGGCATCCATTAAATCACTCATTCACTCATTGCTATTGAGTTGGGACTGACTCAGAGCTGACACTCCAGCATGTTTCTGACTGTTTGCCAGTGAGGCATGGCCTGTGGGCAGCAGCACAAATACTTACGGACTCCACCATTAGAGGACAAGAATGCGGCTCCACATTAAACAAGGCACAAAAAAAAAACCCTAATCAGAATTGTTTGGCAAAAAGTGTCAACAGTGTCAAAAATGAGAAATCCTGCTCTATGACACCATTATCTGTCTTTCTGCATTCATATTTTGTCTAATAATTATGAAACATCTTCTATCAGTTTTCCTCTCTCTTGTCATGAGCAGAAATGTGAAGTTATTAATTTTCAACTGTTTCCAATGAAAATCTAAAAACAGATTACCAAGATGGGCTTTTTATGTCTTTTTT